ACAAACTACGTGGAATAGAGGGCAATGGTGAGATTTCGGTTTCGGATCCCGGAAAAAGAAAACCCTTCTCTTTGGCGCAAATTCTCTTGAGCAGAGATTTCACTGTAACTTCTCTTGCATTCGAGTATCCAGACGAGAAACAGGTAATGGTAGATTGGTGAACATGATGAGAACATGGCGTTCTAGCTTAGACATGACAGAAAAGTCAAGACTTATGATTATCCTCTCTGATGTGAACGTCTATAAGACTACAATCCGCCTCGGTCTGGTGGACAGCTGGCTGTCAAGGTTATTAGAAGAGAATATTGCAATAGTTTGAGTGTATGTGGGAATAGCTGGCGGTTTTCTGGTAAAAGCAATACTAAAGCACTGTACTGTTAGCATCAGACGACGTAGAACAGATTGCATATATAAATAAAGATAGGTAAACATCACCGATGCTAACAGAGTCACTCAAGACCCAGCAAGGGTAGTAGTAAATCTGCACGTGATGCCATCTCCTCTCTCAATCGATGATCGCGATTGCGATAGATGCTTAAACAGCGTGCTGTGAAAGGGTATATCAAACGACTTCTTGTGGTCAACCGTTCTTATTTCAGCTTCAACACGTCGCAGGTGCTTAGTCGGACTCGTGCCGCATTTACGTACAGCAACCATGTCACGTGTTACAGGAACTTCTTCTTGAATCGGATTCGAGGTTGGGTGTGTAAAAGGGGGTCACTCGACGCATACTAAAGTATAGTTATGCCTTTGGTAAACATGACTGAACGTACTCTGCGAAACCACGGCGTTTCTCGGCAAACAGTTACTTCCCGAAATCAAGTTATGGTCATCTAAAATCATGACCTATGGAGCGGATAATACGCCGGAAACGGAACCTCCGGCGGAAGCTTCGGCTGCCACCGCTGGATATGTCCTATAGAAATTATTCTCAGTCTGCTCAGTCATGTCAGCATTGATTTTCATATTCTCCATTATGACCAGTCGTCGACGGCAGAAGACCCCAGTATCGATTTCATTTCACTACTAAACTGTACTAACATATATGTCCCTTAACCAGCGTCTTAAGCTCCACTAGCCACGTGCATGCTAGACGTCCATTGGTGTCAACATACTTTCGCTTGTTAGCTGATCGACGCAGGCGCCATACACAAGCGTAAAATTTAGATGGCCTGGTAGTTCTTTTCCAAAGGGCCACGTCCGTACGTTTGTCCTTCGTCAGATCGATACCGGTGTAAGCCATCGCAGTCAGCAGTCAACACGCACTATTACGCCTGCAGTCTGAACAGAGCACGGCTGCGAACAGTAGTGAGTGAGCCGGTCGGTTGATTGGTCGTTGGTAACCGTTGTGAAAGCACGCAAAGGAACGGTGGAGGAAAAAGAAAAACGGTCTATTGTGACTATCGCCGCGGAACCACCAGCGCCAGCCCTTCCGGACACCGTCGATGGCACAGTGCCGTATCGAAGGTACTGTGAGCTGCCAATCGCACGTCATTTCTGTGTATCGTTCATCCCGACCGATTATTGCACTCTTCACACCTTTGTCCTCATTCTCGCTATGTTGACGCCGCCAAGCCACGATTTGGAGTTGCCTCTTCCTCCTTCGCTGCACGCCGTCGGTTGTCCGTCGTACGGTTTGTCATCTCCGGACGAAAACGTACGTTTCGCAGTTTTTTATCTGCCCTCTGTTCAGTTGTTCGTATGCATTCGGTAGCCGGCACTGCCGTAGCAGCATGACCGACCACGCGCCCTCGTCGCCACTGGCACTCTCGTTTCTCGTTGGCACTCATGGCCAACTCGTTTTAGGGGAACCAGAGTGTTTTCGATCTGTGATGCCTGAATTCAGCCAGAGATTACTTAAGGACCGGAAGAGAGTTCCATGTATGATAGGTGTCACAAACGGCACCCCATTCATAAAAGCGTAACGAGTGTAGGAAAGATTGATGATATCCAGACGGTTACAGACATTCCTTCCTTTCTTTTACCAATCGAATGTCAGTTGAAAAATTTCTCATTGCATGCAACCCTGTTTAAAGCTGTTTAGCCGCAGATATATTGAGAGATCCAATTTTTTTGAGTGAAAGTGTTCAACTTAGGATCAACGACAGAAAAATGTGGAGGAGGTTAAAAACGAAGGCAGTGTTCAACTTGCATTTGCTTAACTCGAGAAACATTCTGCGAGTAACAGATGAAACCAGATGAAGCGAACAATACCTGATATTTTTTGCTTCTATTTGCCGAGACAATAACCTTGCGCTACGTGAGCCAGGCCGAGACTCTCGGGTAAGTGATGTTCCTAGTATTTTCTACTTTTCAATATATTTGCTCAAAGGCACTGGTTACTGTATTGTGAAAGGAACAGTTCTTCTCCGTTATTCACCCGTGTTTCACGCTGGCCTCTCTATCGATTTGTGCCGTGTTTCGACTCCCATAAGATAAGCGATACTGACCTGAGTAAAAAATTTTCTTTCAATTGGTTTGCTTAGCAGAGTCAACCTTCTGTTTTAGTCTCAACATCTACTGAGTTACTAGAAGAGATTAGAGTCATTCATTACTTAGTCCTATAATTTCATCTTCGCACGTAGAAATCAACGCTGCTATGTCCTGTCCAACTGTCCTTCTTGATCTTTCGTTAACAAATATGTCTGTTTCATAGATTAATACTGTCTTTGAACCAGGCATGCTCGCGGCTTTTGTTGAAGGGGAACTTCTATTCTCATCCCAAATGTTGCATGGGCACCAAAAACACTGAAATGGGAGACATTTATATTATTTCACCGTAATTGGATGATGCTGTCACTCGAGACAGTGCGCCCGAGATATTTCAACTGGTCAAGCTACATTACTGTCATTCCCTCTTGTTCCACTTGCAGATTGACTAAGGCAAATAGGCTCATAATAACTTTTGACTTCTAGGTGTTAACGCAGACGCTGAAGTCGGCAACTGTGCTGCATGCGAAAGTAGTTACGTGAAGTGACCTATTTCCGGTAGTACTCACTTCGGACAGTATCAGAGATCAGCAAAATTTCTGGCCGAACATTTTTAACTGTGCCTTCCCTTTAAAGTGAGAATTTCAGGTTGGCCAAAGTAAGCTCTGTTTCAGAGATGAAAGTCGAAAAGAATGATCAGTAACAAAGGCAGAAGCACATCAGATTGTGAACTCTGTAGCTAACGAATAGTTACCCCTGACTTTAATTACATGCGTGCTTCCTTCGTGCTGCTCCAGTGTATTACATAATATTTGTTTTAAAGTTGATCCTGTACGACGGAATGTTTATGAGTTCAAGAAGTTCTTGTGACTTACATATGAATAAGAAATGCTAAATCAGTTGTAGGCTTAACGTCGATGGAAGTCCTACGTGAAAACAGCTACAACTGGCATTACTTTTCGTTGCTATGGTAATTTAAGGGAATAGTTGCTTGGCGTTTGCAATGTCGTGATTACACACTACTGAATTGCATGCCATCTTTAAATATAGTACGTGAATATATATTTGACAAAGAAGAATGTGAAGTTTTCCTATCATTTCCCTTTTTCCGTATTTGATTTACTACCGATAGAATCGGGAAGAATTTACAACTGGTAGATTTACTGTATGGATAGAATCCACATATACCACAAGCCTTTTTCACGTTGTAAGGTATCATATTCTTTTGAATTTTAGCTTTGAAGTGTGGATTCATACTAACTTCTGTTGTAGGCAGAGGAGTTATGGTAAAACGAGGTAAACAGAGGAAAATATGTTGTACAGTTGAAAATGCGCAGTTCATCTACTGAAGCTGTTTTTCTGATATGATCTGGGCTCACCGTTGTCCTTTTAGAAGAGTACAGATCGAGTCGCCTGCTTATAAGAAAACTATCTCATTCTTTAGGACGCAGTTTTACCGCTATTTTTTCTGCCTGTTTTGCCACTGTTCCTAAGTTTTTCCTCAGGCTTATTTCCCTGGCACACTGCTGGAAATACGAAGTATTGTTTTGGATTATTGGCAGTCATCTTTAGTCTGATTATTCTATACTCTCGAAGTTAGGGTATTCTGTGTGACTCAGGGAAATAGATAGTGCTTATACTCAACCCCAAACATGTTTTTGACTATAAATCTGGCATTCTCTGCATTGTGAGCAGTATAGTTACGAAAGCGATCCAACAGTACGCTGAACTATGACACGTTCAACCAGTCTAGCAGCTAATCGTTTGTCGGTTCATCGCTTAATCGATAAGAGCCTTTGTGCAGTTTTCTGAGTAAACAACGCATTGAACGAAGACTGGTTGAAAACTCAGGCGCCATTGCAAGCGTGGGGCTAGGCAAACTTGGTACGTAATCTGGAAGTTTAAATTTACCACCGTTCACAGGAAAATGCTGACGTCGTAATATAGTTCAATTTGATAATTAGTTAATTATTTCTGTAACTCATTTCAACTCTGGTTTTCTATTTAATAAATCATTTATACATAGATTCCAGCAGTCAATCTATGTTTTGTGTTCTACCCAACAGATTCGAGGGTAATAAGCCCTGATCGAGTCACGGTTGAGAAATATGCCTATTTGAATTAATAATTTTGGTGTTGTTTTAAAATGCATAGTGTTTTTATGCATAAAATTTGCTAATAAATTTTTGAACTGCATGAAAACCTATTGCTGTCTGCTACCGCAGAAATCTTGAAATGACTTGATAAGCTGATGATCATAACAACAAGGTTTCTGAATGTTACGCTTAAGGCATAAACCTGAA